AGCCGTCCTGGCCTGCCGCGGGGCTCTGCTGGCGCCGGCCGCCCTCTGTGCCGGGCCGGTGGCTGAGCGAAGGGCCGGAGGCTCTTTGCTGAGCAGCATGCCGCCTTTTGCACAATATCCTCTGCTCTTCCTCGCGCTGCAGGATGCTGAGAGTGGAAACGTTGCAGACCTGCACTTCCAGCGCTGCTCACCTTCCTCTGCCCGGGGCTGCATCTGGTGCCCACAGCCCACCCCCGGTGAGCCCACCTGGGCCATCAGCACATTTCTTTAATGTCAGCTACTGTACGCCACAGCCGCGTTTCTTATGTGTTTGACCCACGTGGTTTTGCAGGGAGGAGGCAGAGCCATCCTCCGGGCTCAGCCAGAGTGGGGGATGAAGTGGGGTCTCATTTGAGACTACGCTGTCTTGGCAGAGGTGGGTGTTGGCAGCCACCAGATTGCAGAGATTTTGGTTTGGTTTTGGTTTTTTCCCCCCAAAAACTCTGAAGAGTCTCATTTGCATCCCGCTACATGATGGGAGAAGTTTCCTGAGAATTTTCCTGGAACAAGAACGACAATTCCCGTCCAGCTGGAGTGTGAGAGCAAGGATTGGGGCTGTGGAGGGATGCTGAGATTTTTTCTAGTCTTTCGAGAGCCATATTTATTTGAAGATATACTTCTCATGGCAAGAAGTCCCTATTATGAAATAGAGCAAAAGCGCCCTGGGCACCTAAGCCCTTCTTTAGAAAGCAGCAGGGAGGCTTTGGGCAGCGTCCCGGCGCAGGCCCGGGGCAGGGGGTGGCACCTCCCTCCCTTGGCTGGCCGGCGGAATTTGGAGCCGTCTCAGTTTTCAGGCCATAGCCGGTGGCTGTCACATGCCGTAGGGACCGGAGGGGACCTGCCTGCGCCCGACTGCCCATGTAAGTCTCCCGGGGACGCAGAGCTCGGGGGTATGCCTCCCCGACCCTGCCTGCGCTGCCCGTGCGGGTTTGCCCCCGCGTGGGGCTGCACGTGGGTTGCTATTTTTCGTGGTTTACTTGTCTTTAAGGGGAGCGTGTTTATCCCCAGCTCTCTGGGGAAGGTACAAGTATGGAGCCGGGGCTGTGCTCCTCGGTGTCTATTTTAATGCTGACGAGCCGGGCTGTGCTCATCCTGGTCTTGCATCCTGCACTTTTCCGAACAAACTATTGTGTCTTTTTTGGGAGCTCATCATCTTAGAACAAATTGCCTCTAATCTTAGATTAATAAAGTACAATAAATAACCGAGCGAAGAGAACTAAATTGCTCAGGCATTGTGAAGTGCATAATAGCGGCAATTACACTTCCAAGCAGAGGGCTTGTAACTAAACTTGTACCGTGACGACGATCGGCGCGGCCCGGGGAGGTTTAGCCGGGGGGAGCACGCCGCTGCCCGCGCCCCTGGGTGCTGCCTGGCCGGCGGGAGGGATGCCCGGCGGACAGTTTAAAAGGACCGGCTGGGCTGAGATGCTGTGAAATCAGAGCCATCGGGGTTAGTGATTCGGGGCAGTAACGCAGTCAGAGTTTAGCTTGATTTTTATTTGAAGTTAACTTCTTGACAACAAAATTAAAGGGTACGTTTTAGACGATATAATCTCCTTCCCTCAGCTGGAAATGGAGTAGGAGCTTTGATACTTTTGGATGATTGCTGCTGTCTGGTAAAAGCCATCGCTCGTTCAGCCGTGGGTCGGCTCTGGGGTGTTGGGTCAACCCGGCACCTGCAGAGCGGGTGCCAGCGCTGGAGCGGGCGGTCGGGCCGGGACGGTGTCCTGGTCCCCGTCATGCCGAGCCCTTGCTCTGCCCTCCCTCCTCCTCCAGACAGAAGCCCCGTGGGACGGTCACCCCGCGGGGGCTGCAGGGTCCCACACAGCTCCAGGGGCTCAGCCCAGAAAGCGGCGAGGGCAGGTTGTCTGCACGTGTTCTTTCCACACGCTTTTATTTCTTCATCTCTTTGCAGTGATAAATACCCTCTTTCCCCCCCAAGACCTGCTTCAGTTGCTTTCCAAGTGTTTCTTCTTCCTGCGGCCGTTGTGACGGATGAATACATGGGCTGCTTTGTCAGAAAAAGTTAGATCTCTTCTAATCATCCAGTTCTCTTATCCATCAGCGTTTATATTCATAGTCTCGAGGTGGGCTGCAACGCTATAGATGAGCGAACCATCTGTCTGGCGACAGAGATTTATATTGCTGTTTGTTTCTTCAGTACGGAGGCGAATGTCTGGGAGAGGAATTGTGCTCCCTGAAGTCTCCCTCTCCTCGAGGCGCTTAATCCTCAGGGACTCTGACGAATGGGGTGCCCAGCGCTCACGACGGAGCTGAAGGCCGGTTCCTAGCATTTCCTGGGCCTTTTTAATAAGGAGAAGGAGCAATTAGCTTGTGTGTGCAGTGTCGTGAGCAGTTGTGGCAGCTGAGTTATGCCCTGACGCAGTTAAATTATTTGCCAAGTCTGGCTTTGGAAATGATTAATTTTGACCCATGTTAAAGCTGTGCTTACAAAGCTCTGCATTTACGGCTGCTTGCTCCTAAGGCATCGTGCTGGCTGAGCCAGCGCTCGTAAATCCTCCTGCTCGCTCCCCAGTGCTCGCGGTCCCCGCAGCACTGCCCGCTCCCTCCTCCTGCCAGCGAGTGCGGCTGGCGAGCACGCACCGGCTTCGGTGCAAAGACCCCCCCGGCCACCCTCCCTGCCCCTTCGGCTGGCCCTCCCCAGGGGAGGTGCAGGCTCAGCTCACCTCCCTGCTGCTGCCTACGACTGGGGACGATTGGGGTGAGGTACGTTCTTGGCGAAACCCCACTGTGCCACCTCAGGTGCATTTGTGTTTTAGCATTTTGCTCATTTGATGCTATGAAATGTCCTGGTGAGGAGCGACGCGCTCGCATCGCTGCTGATGGGTTTGCTGAGTGCTGCCAGCCGTACCTGGGCATCCTTCCCCTTGGCGTTGGAACCAGCACAAATGCCAAATGTCTTAATGACTGCCCCACCGAGGCGGTTGGTTATTGTCACCTCCGTTACGGAGCTGCTCGGTGCGTGACGTCCCGCCGAGGGACCCGGGCAGGGCGCAGGGTCTGCAGGGGACGTGCCTGCAGGTGAGCAACAGGAGCTCAGCATTTGCTTCCCAGTTAAGGCTCCTGATTTCTTTCCTCTTTGGCTACGTCGATCGGGACAAGATGAGCCCGCAGCCTGGAGCCCCTCGGCTCTGCCCGCAGCAGCTCCGGAGCTGGAGGGGTTCAGACGGGTGCGTCTCACCCACCTCCCGGGTGCTGCCTCTGGTCCAGGCTGTGCTGCTCCAGATGCTGAGGGAGATGCTGAAGGACGGGCTCCTAGAGCGGATCAGCCACCCCGAGCCCGTCAGCAGGGTCAGCCAGACCAGGCAGCCGCCAGCAGGTTCCCACGGTGTCACCCCAAGGGAGGTTAAGCCAGGGAGCAGTTACTGGCTTATGGCAAAAGTGTGTAAAGTTTGATAGCCTGTATAAAATTTTATCCCAGATATCATGCCTGAGGTGATGGGTTCCTCGCCATGCATTTGCTTTTTGTACATAAAAGCCTTGTAAATTAAAAATCTGACTTTTCAACCTGATAAGGGATTCCACAGGAAGCCCCGAGGAGCTCTCACAGGTGTGCCACACTTCTTACACGCTGGGCGATTTCCCCAGGAGTGGTCAGGCTGGCTGTGAAATGCCAGCGGGCACCGGAGGGTACCAGGACGAGGGACTCCCGAGCAAATGAGGGTCTCATAAAACCCCTTCCCAATTCGCTGCCTGATCAGCTCGGTATTAACGCTCAGTAAATACTTGTTTATCCCTCTGTTGTCAGAGCGAGTAGCAGCTGCTTTCCAATAAATTACGGTTCGGTGGCGTGTGCCGGGCGGCATGCTCGGCTGGAGCCGGCGACACGTGTGCACGGGGGTTGCACAGGCGAAATAAAATGGGGTGGTAGGTTTAATGACTGTTGCTGTGAATTTGCTCACCTCAGTCTGTGCCTTGGCTTGGTAGTAGGCCTGATTAATGCTATCTTGATGACCTTCTTCCAAGCAGTTAAAAAAATAGTAATAATAGTAGCCCTTACTTAAGAGACTTGTTGAATACAGTGGAATAGGGGAAATGGCTAATTTGCTGCACTTAACTCCATTATCAGCTGTAACAGTAATGAACAGACTTTGTCTTGCTCAGAGTCTAAAGCCGAGGTGTCAGGAAACAATCCCTTTTAGCCTGCACTTAGCAGGCAGGAGTGTAATTTATAACCCTGCCTGGTGTGAATAAGTGAGTTTGCAAAGGGCTGCGGGCTTTTACAAAGTAATAGGAGAGGCGGGTGGCAGATGAGCTGAGCAGGGACCAGTTCTGCCTGCACACCCTTAACCCAGGTGTGCTTGATCCCAGACCCCGCTGGCATCCGTGGTGAGGAACCTCCAGCCTTGGTGAGGTTTTCCCCCGCCCGCGCGGTCACGGGCATCCACCCGGCATGTGGGGACCGGCAGGAGGGCTGCGGATGGGGGTCAGTGGTGGAGGTGGAGCAGCTGAAGATGAAGGAGTGCCCGTGGTGGTCACAGCGGTGGACAGGG